TATCTATTTTTTTCTAATATTGTCATTCTTCACATTCCTTACCTCTACGAATTTCTGGGCTTGATCTTTATTTTTTGGTCGTTAGTATTTACTTTAACATAAAAAGAATTTCGGCGTTGTACACATTTGGCTTTTTAAAGATTATTTTGAAATGTGTGAGAAACATGTGTACATGTATTCAAATGCCCAAGCATTAAATTTGAATGTTCTTATTTACCACAACTACCCAATAAATAGAATTAAATATAAATATTCAGCCGAAGAAGAATTAGTCATTACTTCAATAATGTATTCAGGAAGTGGTGTAAATTATACTTTGATAAAAATAAAGCTGAAAAGAAGATTTGAAAAAATAAGCCAACTTAAGTTTTCCTCAGATCAATAAGATAAAATGATACAATTTTTTTTTACACTTTATGAAACACAGCTGGTTTATTTTACAATAAAATAGCACTCGCAATTAAACTTACCCTTTCATTTATCAATTACCAAAATGAGAAAAAAGATCTGGCTGTACATACTAGTACCCTGAAGTTGACATTAAAAAGACTCCTTAGTTAATGAGTGACAGTATTTATGTGATATTTAAAGACCAAAACTGGAGGTAATAAAACTTTCAATTAAGCTAAGTGCCAAGTAAAGGTCTGAATTTAAAGACCCTTCTTGGTACATTGTGACATCATTATTAATTGATCTTCTGCAGAAGAAGAAGGTATGGTTTTAGCTTTATTGCGCCCTAAAAATGTAATGACATCAAAAAGTTTTGAAACTGGCTTAAATATTAGTTAAATAAATGACATTGATAAATCAGGAAAGAATATGGGATGCAGGCTTACCATTCTGCAAATATGACGTCATTAATGTGAAGCATTTCTCCATTTTCAACAGAAAAAGCCTCAAAATGGCACATTTCAAGGGTTGTTTTCCTTTAGAAAACAGTGTCCACAGCCGTCGCCCACGTTAATTTTTTTTTATTTTGTGCAAAATTCAATAACAAATCACATATCTCAAGATCTTTGTGGGCGATGCCTGTGGACAATGTTATCTGAAAGAAAATTCCATTGAAAATTGGTGTCTTTTGCAACTTTTTAAGAAAATACGGGAAAATGCACATGTTTATGACGTCATAATTAGCATTTAAAAACACATGTGAGAAAAATGACTCGTATGATTTTTCTGCATTGAAGTTCAATTATTTAAAATGCATGAGTTTTCAACTTTTACACCAGTTTCATTTTTTAGAAAATCACAGGGCAAAATTTGTATGGAAACCATACCTTCTTCTTTGTGCAATACTGTTTTTAAAGACCAAAGGCTTAGGGTTAGGTTAAAGACAACCTTTTCGTAACTTAATCTCAGTAAGTTATATTGAAACTTGAAAGTTTGAGTAAAACAGTAAAAAAAAAGAACACACATAGCGCCAGACTTGAAAATGCACATGTTAATATCCTATCTAAAGAGAACACGTATGATTCAATTTTTACAAAAATCAACAGAATGAATCAAATGGGTTCTTAAATAAAATGTAAATCTGAAGAAAATTGAATTAGTGGTTTCAGATATGTTTGCGATTAAAAAAATGTCAATGGGATCAATGGCCAAAAATAAATAAATAAATAAAAGATTCAGTGGGCGATGCACAATGGTCAACCCTTGACCTCTTGATATGACCTTGACCTTTATAGTACATGTGCATAAAGAATGAAGACTCCTTATATATCTTCACTGTCCAAATATCCCTCTACTATTTATTGAAAAACAGTTACACTGCATTTATTAACAGACTGATACATGTAATTGCTTGTTTATTGCATTTAGATAGCGCAAACACATTCTAAAATGTCACGTGACAAATATATAAGTTTCTCTGATTTTTTTCACAAAATATAATAGGGTGAATTCACCATGCATCGGATACCCTTGTACTTTAACAAATTCTAGTGATATCGCTACCAATGGAAAATTATCAAAATGGAGTTTAACATTTAGTTTGTGATTAAAATAACAATTTAGGACACAATTATATGCCGTTTATTGAGAAAATATCCCCAAAAATCGAGTTTTTAGAAAAAAAACTGAAAATTCACCATGGATCGGACATTGTTCACCATGCATCGGACAGACGGTATGGAGGCCGGGAAATATATTACCTTTACCACAGTGCTTTAAAATCCCTGATATGGATATATTTTTATCTTTTATCTAAGAAAATTCCCTCAACTTTAATTTAATCGACAATATTATTGCACAAATATAGAGCGATTCTCGAGATCTCACTCTGCCTTAGAAATGCTTTAAAATGCTTATAATGCCGTAATTCGCGCCTTTTTCTCATGGTTTATCATACTCTGGTTTGTAGAAATAAATTGAGTAAAATTCCAGATAACTTGATATTCCTCGATAACTTGTATTTTGACTGAAAATATAGAGTTTTTATTTTCTTTTCCCGCAAAAAACAGCTGTCAGCTGGGTTCTATATGAAAATGGTAGTGCTTACCTTTGCATCAAAAAGTGTCCGATGCATGGTTAATTTGTGTCCGATGTACGGTGAAAATAGCATATTAGTAAAAACCAGCTCTAATAAGAATTAAACAAACATTGAAGTGAAATTTAATTATTATTTATGTAAAATTACCAATCTCTGACAAAATTCACCCAAGTCCGACTCGTTCCGTGGAAGTCGAATTTAAAAGAACGATAACTCTAAAAATTGCAAAATCATAAATTTCCGGTTATTCCCCTATGATGATGTAAAATATGACGTAACTTCAAGGCCATTTGCGGGGTATTTCTATCACAACATGATAAACACAATCGGTATCATTAAAAAATTTAAATCCTCGTCTTTTTGACAGAAACAAATAAATACACAGAACACTTAAGTTGAAAGAGAGTTTATTGCCTAAAGTTGTCCGAAGCAAGGTATGTGTCCGATGCATGGTGAACTCACCCTATATACCACAACTTATTATTTTTCTTACAAGAATTATTCATTATTGTCAATATAGTTATATTATTCTTTTTCTCCTGAACTTTTCTACGAAATGAGTTAAAATAGAATTCATGCATGTTTAGTACATGTACTTACTTAAACAGACAAAAATAAGCATGATACATTCCCACAATTCAGCTACAATCAAGCATCCATAAAAGCCTTTGAGTTGGTTTAATGTTTATTTAATGATGTTGTGTATATTATAATTACTTAAATATAGCTTAAATCTGCTTAATTTCTACTTAAGAATTCAAATATTTATAAAAATCTTATTAAAGTTATCCGGACAAAAGGTAAACCATTTTGGCAGATGCCAACCTTTTTTTTTGAAACATACATGTATCAATAACTTTTTTACCGATGGAAAACTGGGTTACACACAAAAATAAGATGACAAGCGACATGGCTAATTCAAATATAACTAAGTACATATTGTACAAATAGTCATGTATTCATTTCAGTAATCCACCCCAGAACTGCTCATGTCATGCAATATAAAATACAGAGAGAAAATTAAAAATTTGAAAACATTTAATGAAATTTTAATTTTAAGTAAATTGGTCAAACTTCATGTACATTTCCTCTGTTAAACGATAATTATAAAATAATATGGAAGTTTTTTTCCTATTCTTGTTTATATCATAAACTGTACTTGTTTGACAAATTGAAAGTAGTTGTATCACGTTTTTAGTCATATGTTTATGCATAAATGTTGCATTTTTTCCCACTTTATTAATTAGTAAGATATTTTTAATTATAATACATGTACTTCTATAATGAAAAATCAACGAGAGAGATGTATTAAGTAGTATAAAAGAGTAAAAAAAAAAAAAAAAAACAAGATTATACTAACTCAAAAAAATATTTTTCGTTGGAAAAAAACATGTTGAAAAAATTAATCATTATTTTGCAGAATTTCGCAAAGAAATCTTCGCTTATGTCCACAATAAATATCATTCCATAAATATCCACTATAAAGTGCCATTTCCAGACAATGTTCATTGTTATGAGAATTGCTCGGTTCGCCTGGCCTCCAAAACGTTAACTTTATAGGTGTGCTTCTAGAAGCCCATTTCCAAACACCCTCTTTATCTTTATCCGTACCGCCAATCCATAAGTCATCTAGAAATATTAATTTATGAATAGAAAAGAAGTTCTTTTTTCATTTACGTTATTTTTTACTCAACTATAATGATTATTCTTCTTTGTTTATACTTTTTGAGCATTGTAGAGAAAATCAAACATACGAAAACATTTCAAAAAACACTTCTCATGGTTATTAGTACTTACGGATCATACAAATGAAAACGATAATTAAATCTTCTCTTCGAAAAATAAGATTTTGTAAAATCAAAACTTTTTGACACATACTTTATTTTTACCTATTCACTCAGATAATTCTGAAAACAATTTAACTAAAATAACAATGGAAGGCAAAAACATGTAAATCATAATGAGGCACATTGCATTACTATGTAATACCTTTTTATAAGGAATACCCTTACAAAAAAGCTGGAACTTGGAAACGTGAAACACCTTAAAAGTATCGTGTTTCTGTGCTGCAATTTCTTAAATGTGATTGACATGCTAATGAAGATTTAGTGTTCTACAACCCCCCTCTTCCCTCCCTCCTCCATAACAACAAATAATTACACTGTAAATAAATGCCCCAAGCTTAGAAAATATGAAAATTCAATTTATAAACAGCATTAAAATAGTACCTTTAAATTCTTCAACCACACGCAGAGTGTAGTTTAAAGACGTGAACTCCTCTTCGGTTTCAATTTCTGCTAAAGAACCCCCAATATCAGAACATAAAACCTGAAAATATATTATTTCTATGTGATAATACCTTTATCCAAAATAGCACGTGATGGACCTGTTTCAAAAAATAATTTTACAAAACATATCCCCTACGCCTAATGAACTTGAAATTGCCCAATTAGTGTACGGCGAAAGTCTTCAGATTAACTTTCATATTTTATTTAAAAGCATTCCATACCGATGCTGCTAAGTGACGACGTCATCACTTTATGATGCTGAAACTCCTTAAGCAAACGTAAGCTCCAAACTCTTTTAAAATCAAACACAAACATCCAGGTAATTTCACACACATCATGATTTAATCCCTATGTGAGGGTAAACAGCACTTGACAGTCTTTTTCAATTAACTGAAGAAGATTTTTTTTTTTTAATTTTTAAAGGAAAATTCTTTCAATTAGTGACATGTTAATACCGCTAAAATAATACTAAAAAAAGATTCTGCAGGTGTTTTTATCAGATTGAGACTGAAAAAAGAACTACTAAAGACTAACTAGATGCTGTCATGAGACAGTAATACCCGCACTAAGGTGTTTGCCTCCAAATACACGCTCCTACATATTGGGCGGCTTTCCAAGGAAAAAGTCAAAATAATTCTATATAATTTACATGTATTCATCAAATTGAGTATGAAATTCTCCCTGTGACCTATAACTCAGAGCCTCTTATATTTATTTTACATGCTCAATTCATTATGTACCAGTTTGAATTCTATTAATGATGTAAATTAGATTTTGATAAATGTTTTGCTCATAATAGAACCTTTTTAAATTTACTAATCCCACCGCCCTCGACACCACAATCACACAGCTTATACTTTTTGGAATAGGCTAGATAGAACAGTTTTGTTAAAACATCGTTTGTTATGAATTAATTTAAAATTTGTTCTTGTACTATACATGTTAACATGTAAATTTCTACATCACATCAAGTTGCGTCACCCATTATCATATTTTCAGATTAAACTCCATGTACACCTCGGCCGATTCCCACTTCATCTGATAAGGTGACGGAATGGACGGCACGAGGGTTTGCCGACCAGAATAGCATTAGCACAGGCTGCAGTCTGGTGTGCATTGGATTAATTCATTTTGTGTTATAATTGGATTAAATTTCATGAAGTTGACAAGACCTGTGGAGGTCGGTAAGTACAAGTTTAAGTAGAGTGGGGGCCGGGTAAAATAAACCCAAACGATTAGGTTAAAGTTCAAAAAGGGTCAAAGATTATCGCATGCCACACTAGACGAATTTCATATTGTGAAGTTATCAGTGAAGACGGAACTTTTTGCATAAAAAACGTCATTTTTCGACCCCCATTTGACCCCCGCGGCAAAATCAAAATTCTGAAACCTTACTGCACATCTACCTGACACCACCAACCAACTCCCAAAAGATGATTAGGCTACTGTGTAAAATGTAGAAGGAGTTCAGGGAAGACGGGGCTTTTTGCATAAAAAAACATCATTTTTCGACCCCCATTTGACCCCCCGGGGCAAAATCAGAATTCCAAAACCTTACTGCACATCTACATGACCCCACCAACCATCTCCCAAAAGATGATTAGGCTGCTGAAAAAAAATGTAAGAGGAGTTCAGGGAAGATTGGGCTTTTTGCATAAAAAACGTCATTTTTCGACCCCCATTTGACCCCCCGGGGTAAAATCAAAATTCCGAAACCTTACTGAACATCTACATGACACCACCAATCATCCCCCAAAAGGTTATTATGCTGCTGAGTAAAATGTAGAAGGAGTTCAGGGAAGACGGGACTTTTTGCATAAGAAACGTCATTTTTCGACCCCCATTTGACCCCCGGGGCAAAATCAAAATTCCGAAACTTTACTGCACATCTACATGACACCACCAACCATCTCCCAAAAGATGATTAAGCTACTGTGTAAAATGTAGGAGGAGTTCAGGGAAGAAAAGTGGGACAGACGGACGGACGGACGGACATGAATAACAACAACATACCCGAACTTTCTTTAGAAAGTGCGGGTATAACTAGAAGTGTCCAAAAGGAACATATACCCCCTTCTGGACTTATTTCTTTAAATTTTTCATAGATGTAGATTTCAAGAGGTGCTCACAATTTGTGGAAAGATTTAGAGTAAAAAAATTATTGTTCTTTATATCTTGAATGAATGAAGCTAAGGTACAATCTACTTAAAATGAATATTTAAATATGCACCAGAGTCAACTAATGTACTTTTTTCTTCAGTGACCTTGAACTTGCCCAAATGACCTTGGGTCAAGGTCACAACACACTCAGGCCATGGGTTGAATATACATTACCTAGTTTATTCGTTAGAAATATTTGGACCGGACAGGAATAGAACTTTCTTTCAGTGACGTAAATCTTGCCAAAATGACCTTGTCTAAGGTCTTTACACACTCCCAGGTCAGAAGCAATCTTTTTGTAAAATAGGAACTCATCAAATTTATCAAAAAGAAAGATATTGTCATAAATTATGAACTTTTTTCTTTTGGTGACCTTGCACTTGCCCAGATGAATTTGGGTCAATAAACATACCCGCACTTCATGAACAAATTTATGTAGAGTAGTAAATTCTTATGTCCCTCCGTAAGAAGAGATGTGGACCGAGCACGTTTGAACATATTCTAGTAGACAGACGTACAGACAGCTAGACGGACGAACATATAAGGTGATTTCCAGATACACCCCCATTTGTTTGTTCGAAAAAGAACCATATACATAATGTAAGTATCTGTCAATACATATAGCTTTCACCTGAGCATAATCCCAACTCGCTCTGACGGGTAACAGTACATAGGTGGATTTTCCTCTGGTGGAAATTTCGTAGAATGAAACTAGGAAAAAAAATATAATGATACAATGTAGCTAGATGAAATCTCCTTGCAAGAAACCTTTAGGTCTTCCGTCTTATTTTTGAAAGAGATGAGATATCATTTTGTTTTTTGATATTGAGATATTCATTGATGTAAACTAAAATTAAAAGATTATAAATTTTTTTTACATACACTATAAATCGTTAAACCATATACTTAAGACATTAAGCTCTGCTGGACGTCTTATAAATTAGAAATTTTCTAATAATTCTGAACATTTAATGTTTTGGCATTATTCAAAAATTACTTCTCTATAGCTATTTCTGGGTATATAGAAAAAGAAATATATAAGGGCATGCCTATTTAGACCTTAACCGTGACGTTTTGTAAAAATTGAAAATAAGAAAATAAAAAGAATATTTTTCGAAACATCTTTTATTGGATATTGGTGGAATGGCTAGAAAGTCTGCTCTCGTGGCTCGAAGTAAGAAGCTATTTTTTATGTCGCGGGTTCGAATCCAAGTGCTGCGGGGCATAGAGAAAGGATCTATCGATAAGACCGCACTAAACCGAAGTCGTGAGTCGCAGTAGATACAGGCACAAAAAAATTCCCTCACTGCATAATGACCCTGAATACCGAGATTTTATAAGCCCTCCATCGGCAAGTGGTGTCGTTTCCACATAAGTAAAAACAATCTCGAGAAGGACGTTTAACATCAAACAAACGAAATATATTTATTTTTAGTAAAGCTCGTTCAAATATTAAAGACTTTTGAGATAAAGCGTATCAGATTTAGCATTTATCCCTTGTGGTCCCTAATTACGCATTTTTTTAATATTCACTTATTCTTAATTTTCTATCATATAAAATTGTGTGTGGCTTTGCAAACCTAAGGTAACTGAGTGACGGGTTTAGTTAAGAAGATTGGGGATAAGGCGGGCGAAGTGACTGTAGTGCGACGGCTAAGAAGTGGAAAATTTAATCTCAATTATATCCAAATTTTATTTGATATTCCATCTGATATTAAAGTGTACTGAATGTAAAATCTCTACAATTTACAAAAATCTCACAAAGACTGAAAATATTTGCCTTTGAAAAAGCATATACACACTAAAAAGAACACAAACAATCATTTTCTCAGACTTTAACAATTTTTAGCTCACCTGAGACGAAGGCTCAAGTGAGCTTTTCTGATCACATTTTGTCCGATGTCCGTCCGTCTAGCTGTCCGTCTGTAAACTTTTCACATTTTCGACTACTTCTCAAGAACCACTTGGCCAATTTTGACCAAACTTGGTACAAAGCATCCTTGGATAAAGGGAAATTTAAATTGTTAACATAAAGGGCCAAGTCTACTCGCAAGGGGAGATAATCAAGAAAAGACAAAAATAGGGTGAAGTCATTAAAAGATCTTCTTCTCAAGAACATTTGGGCCAGAAAAGCTGAAACTTATGTGGAAGCATCCAAAGGTAGTGTAGATTCTAAATTGTTCACATCATGACCCTCAGGGGAAGGGCGGGGCCACAATGGGGAATCAAAGTTTTACATAGAAATATATAGGAAAAATCTTTGAAAATCTTCTCAAGAACCACTGGGCCAGAAAAGCTGAAACTTATGTGGAGGGATCCTGGTATAGTTTAGATTCTAAATTGTTCAAATAATGGGGGGAGGGCAGGGCCACAATTGGGAATCAAAGTTTTATATAGAAATATATTGGAAAAACCTTTGTAAATCTTCTTCTCAAGAACCAATAGGCCAGAAAACCTGAAACTTATGTGGAAGCATTCTGGGGTAATGTAGATTCTAAATTGTAAAAATCATTACCCCTGGGGGAAGGGCGGGGCCACTATAGGGAATCAAATTTTTTTTAAAAATAGAAATATATAGTTATCTTTGAAAATTTTCTTCTCAAGAACCACTGGGTCAGAAAAGCTTAAACTAATGTGCACATGGAAGGATCATGGGGTAGTTTATATTTCAATATGTCTAAATTATGATCAGTGAGATAGGGTGGGGATGCATTATGTAATACAAGGGGGAAATCTGGTAAAGAACAGAATAGTCAAAGCTTCTCAGGTGAGCAATGTGGCCCATGGGCCTCTTGTTTTCAATATGAGTGAGTCTTCGCTCCATTTGTTTTGTTGCAATAAAAATACATTTTTTGGTTTACAAAAACATGGAGCGAAGACCCACTATACCTTAAAAGTACACTTTTATGACAAAGCAATTCCATCTTTCCGAGAAATACTTCAAGTCCATTAAGTCTTAGGTTATATCAGAAACATGATTTAAATGCCAATAATCATCATTCGCCATGTAGCAAGTGGTTTGCGCCTTAGTCTCAAAGCCGTATGATAGTCATACAAATGTACGTCCGACTTTTATTGCTAGGGTTCGAATTCCTCTAATATCATCTTATATTTTTATAAAAGAAATTTTTTTTCTCTCACAAAAGGATTTTTTCTCATATTTTCATAAATTTTAATAATAAGAAGTTAACTTAAATATTCAGTTCACATTTTAAATATTATTTATTAATATCCGACGCTATAGGCATTCTGCCCGCCTTGTTCCCCCATCTTCTTTACTAAGCAGTAATATAGGTTCTTTAAAAAGTAAAACCAATTATGGCTTTGCTGTTCTTGAAAAATATTTTCCTGTATATTCCTATGTAAAATTTTGATCATCCACTGTGGCCCCACCATACCCCGGGGTCATGATTCGAACAAACTTAAATCTACACTACCTCAGGATGCATCCCTATTAATATGTCTATTCATGTCTTTGTTGTTATTGAAAAGATTTTAAAGATTTTCTTTCATATTCTTATGTAAATTTTGATCGTTCATTATGGCCCCCACTCTACCCTTTGGGGTCATTATTTGAACAAACTTAAATCTACTCTACCTCAGGATGCTTCCCTATATATATGATTAATTATGGCTTTGTTTCATATTTCCTGGCCCAGTGGTTCTTGAGAAGAAGATTTTTAAAACATGCCAACACATTTTTCACATTTTTCTAATTATTTCCCTTGAAAGAGACGATGGCCCTTTATTTGAACACATTTGAATCCCCTTCACCCCAGAAATGATTTGTGGTAAGTTTGGTTCCTGAGAAGAAGTCAAAAATGTGAAAAGTTTTCAGACGGACATGCGGACGGACAGACTACAGACAAAAATGTGATCAGAAAATCTCACTTGAGCATTCAGCTCAGGTGAACTAAAAAAGCACATATTTTATCAGGAAACTTGGAAAAGCGAGAGAAAGAAAAGTAGGAAATCTCACCTGAAAGACTGCTCAGACGATTAACTCGCTTCTTCAAATCCTCGTTATTTTCTGTTCAAAATGATAAGATATAGTTTGTGATTGATTATTCTACCAATAACCAATCATTCTCTCTTCCCCCTCCCCCCTCTCTTTCTTTTATCACTCTCCAGTCAATGACATATCGGTGGAAGTTATTGATTTTTTTAAACATAAATTTATTATATGTATATCAATGTTGTCACGAGTGTTGTACATGTACATGTATTCATTACAAATTTGAAATGATTCCTTGTCTTTCAAGGTCTGATTTTACATACAAGTTTAAGAAATGGATATTACAAAATGATTGGGTTCCGTATTTCCAGCAATGTAATTATTTGTTATTAGATATTTATTATTGATGTTTAATTATTCATTTCAGCATTATGATTCTTTGGATAAACACGTATAATCCTTTCACAAGTTTGATTCAGACGCCAAAAATGATATGTTTTGAATGCATTTATCAAATTATTTCTCAACTATTGTATGGAGTTATAAGCGATAATTTGATCTTTAATTTTTTTCAGGTATACATGTATTGATATTTTCCGACTAACAGAAAAAAAAATGTTTCTCTGGTGACTGCTTTTGTTTATCTAAAAATACAAGATTACAAAAAAATAAATTTATTAAGCAAATTAATTGAGCGAAGAAAAGACATCTTTAACAACATTAAGAAATACTGTACTGAAAAATCACCTGTTATATTTTTCAAGCGAATCAATTGCTGCTTTAAAAATCAGTTCTGATGTGACAGCATGAAGTATACAAATAAATTTAATCTAAAATTAATATAAGTTTTACCTGTATATTAAACAAAGAAGGTATTTTCCTATCAACAGAGAAAACTCACTTGTTACATTTTCCAAACGGTTTACATTTTCTTCAAGTGACTGTTTTTGATCATCTAAAAATGCAAGATTGCAAATGTATTCAGCAAATACATTAAGCAAAGAAAACATTTTTAAGGACGTTCGATCCTCAGCTTTTGAACGGATTTTGGTTCTGTACTTTATTTATACAATTCTGCATAATCTTTTAGTTCTAACATTGAATCTGAGTTCTACAATGTAAATTCAACCATATTCAATGAAAAAACCGCGATTAAATTCCATTTAAGTAGAATTAAGCTTAAGGGTTTTTTTTTTTAGGAGAAAACGATCAATTTTTTCCTTTTTGAACTTTAACAGTACTTTTAATATTAGATTCCTATTTTTCAATGCTAAAAAAACTGTTGTTTTTTTTTTTCGCCGTAAAATGTGTTCTACTGGTTCTGAAATATCTATTAAATTATTTCTTATGAATTCTTTCAAGGCAATGTGACAAATATAGTAAATTTATTCTGAAAATCCAGGGAAAAAATGAACCAATTTTAACGTACAATTGTTTTTATTTTTTTTTGTTATATCTGAAAATTTACATCATATACCCTCACTTTTGATGTTCTTTTCTAAATATTTAAGATAAATTTGACCTATAAATTCAGAAAAAGATTAAGAGTTAATAATAATAATTTTCTTGCTTATTAGATTTTCAATGCCAGAAAAGTAACATTTTATTAGTGTAAAAAGGTAAAAAAAATTGATTATGCGAAGCAATATGAATTTTTTTTATCACAATTTTAAAGTGTCTTTTTTAAAATGGACTTAGAGATTTTGCTGCTTTAAGGATATCCGATCCTCAGCAAGGAATGTTAACTCCAAAAATTAATATTCAATTTAAAATGCTTGAAAATTAAATTCTTTCATGCAGCAATTTTCATTTTATTCATCTTTATGATTCAAGGTTTTTGGAAGTCTTAGAAAAGGTCTTATAAAAGTTAACATTTTTACCCTATAATAGGAAAAAATTGATACAGTTTTAGAGAAATAAGATTTTCTTGAATCCAGCCTTTGATTCCAAAACTTATTAGCATGATATGAAATAAAAAGTGATTTGTGGAGTCTAGCAATGATAACAAAAGCCTTTTACACGATGTATTAAAGAATACATAACAGAAATAGAGGACAAAAAACCAAATGAATGTAAAAGTCATGACAATATCTCTAAATGCCTGGATAACTATCGTTTTTAACCTAAAATTTATTCAAGGAATAACTGTCTTATTTTTTCGATTTCTTGATGTGATCAATCGATTGGCTTGCGTGATAATTTGCATAAACGCCTTTCCTGTCTAGCTGTTTGTTCCACCCCGCATGTGGTTTTTCTTTGGAACCGCGCCAATACATTGATGAGGGAAAAAAGTACATTTACAATTTGTAATTTTATCTCAGACAAAGAAGCTGGAAATGTAAATTTTTGCTGATCAATTTGAAATTTGAAAATGCATGGCTGATATTCCAATTCGCTTTTTCTGCAAAAATATTGAAGATTTGAAAATTTTCCCTACATAATATGATTAACTTTCATCTTTAACTTTAAAGAAATACTGTAGATAAATTTACATAACTTTGTGGATTCAAAGATACTTTTATGTGTATTTTTATTACTTAACTGCTAATTTTATAAACATGGGGATCGGAATAACTTAATTGGATAAAAATATTGGAGGGAAAACGTCGAAGATGTAATTTTTAATTAAGACACAAAGTTCAGTGCAAAAAGGTCAAATTCAATGTTTTGTAACGCCAAAAGGAGCATATTAACCCTCCCCCATTTTTGATTTGAATTTTGATTAAGCTACATTGTAAGTATGAAGAAACTAAAAATATAATTGGCAAAAACAAAATTAAGATATTAAGTATCAGGATCCAATGTTGTTAACAAAAATGTTAAAGAACTGTAAATCACCTGTTATGTTTTTCAAACGGATCAATTGCTGCTTTAATGACAAGTTTTGTTCTGAAAGGCATAAATTATACCGATAAATTTAATTTCAAATTAATTTCAATTTTACATGTAATGAAGAAAAGGCATATTTTCCGATTAACAGAGAAAACTCACCTGTTGCATTTTCCATTCGGTACACATTTTTTTCAAGTGATTGTTTCTGTTTATCTACAAATTCAAGATTTCAAATGTATTGAGCAATTACATTAAGCAAAGAAATAATATTTTTTACAAAAAAATTTGGAACTGTACAGGAAAAATCACCTGTTATATCCTGCAAACGTATCAATTGCCGCTTTTGTTCTGAAAAGCATATATTATACAAATCAAATAAATATAACACAGCAAGCATATATTTTCCATTGATTAAAGATTACTAGACAGGGAAAGAAAAGGAAATATCCCGGTACTTAAAAACTAAGCTGTTATATTTATCATACGGTTAATTTTCTTGTTGTAATGTCAGACATTGTTCTTTAACTATTTTTTTTCTTTGTTTGTATCAGATAAAGGCTTATTTTAATTAATCACTATAATAATAATATTATGTTGATTAAGACATTTGCTTTACCATTATATCCATCTTTCTGAAGTCCAAACATTGTACTGATTATGGACAAGCAAATGATCAAACTGACAGTAATGAGCGTGGCTATTCGTAATTTCAGCTTAGAATTCATAGAAGGTTTATGCTGATTTCCCTCTGTTTGAAATTCATCCTTTAGCCTAGGGTCCGAGGCCGGTGTTTTTTTCTATAGACTGTAAATATGATAGTTTAAACAATAAGATCGATAAATAAAATCAGTTTTATAAAAATTTCAGTGTTTCTGTTAATTAATTAAGGAATAAATTAGATAAGTAAATAATTGTTCAAGACGAATGAATTGTAGAATATGATAAATCTGCATGTATTTAACCCAATCTCAATCAAATATTGTTCAACTAGGTATTTACTTGAGACTTATGGTATAGGTGCATGTTTCTGCCCCCTACATACAAGATAAATTACGTCAACATGCAAGATAAATTATGTCAACATGCAAGATGAATTATGTCAACATGCAAAATAAATTACGTCAACATACAAGATAATTATGATGACATGGAAATTGCCAATTTTTTCAGAAAATCTGATTTTATAATGGGCAACACATAAACAAAAACCAAAATAACAACAGTGATTTGATAATTCAACAACAAAATTCCTCTTTATTTTGTGGATATGTTAGAGGATATCAGGTTAAAACTACAGGCATTGTGAGCAATGAGCTCACTAAATGATATCCCCGCCTCCCACGTGAATAAAATGGCAGTGTCAATGTTTTGCTCTGGAAAATCCAAAATATATGTCGGATCAAAAAGTAAAATAGGTGGTCACAATTGCAATATGTAATAAAGATTCTGTGAAAGTTTCTTTAAATTTCCTTCAGTGGTATGAGAGGAGTTACGGATAAGAGATGGGTACCCCAAAGCGTAGCTGACGGACGGACGGACGGACGGACGTAAAGGCAGACGGAAATACCGATTACTATATACCCTCCCGCTTTTCAAGCGTGGGGTATAATACAACCTGTAGAGTACAAAGATACCCCCCTCTTCTAATTTGGTGATCGAAAGAAATCTCATGAATCTTAACGTTGGTGTCTCTCCATCGCTTTTTCAAATATGTTTGAATTTTTTTCAGCCTATAATCGAAAACAATAGCATATACATGTACGTACATTGTACATGTTAAGCTTTCACTGAACTCCGAGTGAAGTGAACATTAATTTGAATTCCCTCCCCCGCAAAGGTATTCAACGCACTATTTTCTGACTTCTTTCTCGTAAAAAGAATCACATTTCTATAGACATAAATATGTATTTTTCTTATCAACAATATTGTATTTTAAAGGGGAGGGGGCGGATATATGGAGCAAGTTTATTTGATAATTTGAGAAAATTTCCAAGCTTAATCAATAAAAACTAAATATGAAACGGAACAACATGCATGTTCTCTATCAACATTAAGTAAAACAAGAAATGGGGACTAAGTCGAAGATCAGAGACTGAATGCAAACACAGTTTAGAATCCATATCCAGTTCTCAGAGTAGCTTATGATCTCCGGATCATATTGACTTTCATCAAACGATCTTAATATGGCGTACCTTCAGTTTCAAATGGGGGAGAAATAAACAAAATTTAAAGTATTTGGTACTCCTTTGTTTGTACCAATAGAGAGTTATGTCGTTCGGATTTTGTTTACCCTGGCTAAATTTTAGCGCGAAATAGAACAAACACCTACTTCCCAAAAAGCAGTAAAATGAACCGTCTTACTTCTTGATGATATTATTCCTTTAAGCCCAGTTTTTTTTCCAACAGTTAGCTAGCCTTAAAGCTGAACACGACTCGTAAATAGGCATACCGCATTTTTGATAGAATTATCTACGATACATCAATACAAGATGATTGCTTTATTGTCACAGGTATCGGCGTGGAATGGCGACCCGTGTTCGTGCTGGTTATCTTGCATTGCCTTTGTTTATATTTTATTGCAGTTACATTTATCTATGTTGTTTGTATACTGCACTGACTTATGTACCTATAATTGTAAATTTATTTGGTATCTTACTTCCCTGCATTAGACGAAGTATTACGTTATTATTCTCGCTACCAAGTCCTGTATAGCATACGTCCGTCTACACCGTTGTCGACTGATTAAACTGAACAGTCTCTAATTCTTGCCCTATTTATAGGGGTCTGCAGGGTAGCGAGTCTCGAGAACTAAAATGGCGGACACAATACTTTTACGAATCGTGTTCAGCTTTACAGAAAATGTGTTAATACAAAAACCTCAAAGATAAAAACTATTAAATAATGAATAATTCCAACTACTGTGGTTTCATCAATTTTCGTTGGCATCAATTTTCGTGGATTTTGTAAAATACACGTTTTCGAGGATACGTAATTTCGTGGACAAAGGCATTGCCCATACAAATGAATGTCATATTTCGTAATTCAATGAACATTTAAATTCGTGGATCTGCTCAACAACGAAATCCACGAAAATTGGTGCTCAACGAATATTGATGAAACCACAGTATTTTGCCGTTACATCCAAACTTCCCTGGTTTGGATGCATATACTGGCGGTTTATCACAATGAAATTTATTAAGCAGTGCAGTTTTCATGATTCTTATATGTTTCTTTTCTAATTGTGAAACATTAGCTTTTGATTGTGATGACTGTGTTCTGTAAATATTTTTACCAAAGGTTTATTTAATCTAAGTCGTGTGCGTTGCACAGTTGTTAGAGCGTCTCTGCAAGAGTCGCAAACTAAGAAGTTGAACCTTATGTCGCGGTTCGAATCCCACCGTTGGATGTTGAGATCAGTCCTTTGGATGAGACCCTGTAAACCGAGGTTCCGTGTCAAAGAGGGTGCTGGCAGGAAAAATCAAAGTACTCAGGAGTACTAGGAGCCGGGCTCATTTACAAAGTAGAATTTTGTATATGAATCATACTTTTATATTGTACCAACGGATAAATATCAAGAATTTCAGACACAGGAAGAACACAAACAATTAAAAAGATAAGGTCTTCAGTGACATATAATCATCTTATCTGAAAAAAAAATCTGATGATAAATTATTTTAAAATATCAATATTAATGATTAGTTTAGGGGTCCACAACCACGGTCCGAATTTACAAGGATCTGTGTTAACCTGGTGCCGCCGAATGTAAACTAAAGGCTAATCTGGTTGACTATCAAAAACCTTACGCAAATAATTATGCTACTTGACTTAAGACTGAAAATTTCAAAGTCATTACTGCTGATGTTAATTTGTATAGATAAACTTCCATATTTTATTTAGCGTTTGTATATTCTCAGAAGCGGTTGAGCGTGCATACTTTATTTTTACGCGTAACTTTAATTTGGCGACTGTGGGGTGGACATCCTACATTAAACAGGATGTCATAAGCCGGCAATTGCTCTTTGAGCAATAATCCCAGCTAAAAATCACTATTAGCTCAATGGCCCTAAATGCCGAGTATAGGAAAAAATTTGAGCTCTACAGCGGCAAGTCGTGGCGTTTCCGTATGAGTGAAAAATCCTCGAGAAGGATGTTAACCAATCATTTAACCTTAAGAGTATTTTTTAGAGTTGGGAGCACTATTTTTGTAAAAATTAATAACAAACACTTTGGAGTTCTCTCACTGAGGTTTCATGCAGAATGAGTAATTTACACACACATTACAAATAAATTACATGTAATTCGATAGTCCTAAATTAAATGGATCCGTTGACATCATCATCATCAGATAATTCTATTATCCAGATTAAAAGGTTGTGTCACATCGAAAAATATATCTTCCCAAGACAAGCACAGATGGTGATTATTATGCCCTGAGACACCTGTTTGTCTCAACAGTTACAAAACGTTAATTAAAACATTAATAATACATAAAAAGCAATAATAAATATCAGTGCATATAAGACTTGTGTTATGGTTGATGATGATTTTTGGAGCCCCAAAAAGATGCAACTGTAGCAATCCGAAATCATAAAAGCACTTCAATCATCCTTATGCTTTAAAGAAAACAGAAGATATAAGCAATGATATCATGTTCATCATAATGACTTACAAGAGTTTGGTACTCCGCGTCAGTGTCTTGCCGTATTGGTATAGTAGCATAATCGTCAGAATATGTTTCCTAGCAGGTGAAACCAGAACTCATTTTAAACAAAGTATCCAATGCTTTAGTTGAAAATCCAACAGTATGAAAGAAAAATAATTATGCCGTTCCAAGACTTATAAGAAATGGCTTTGTAGCATCGTAATTTCGTGTAACTGTTCATAAAGGTTATTGCTGAAACTTGCAATTTTTTCCTAACATCGAGATGGACATTATTACATGAAGAGGTTAAAGCTCAAGATAATAAGCACCGCCCTCAAATTAACCTGGTCTGTATTCCCCTCTTAGATAAATGTACGTTTTACTCATGGAAACCAAATGGGGATTCATAAGGTGATTGAACCTTTAGTCACGTGTTTACATATTTTATGCACCCTGTATAGCTAAATATGTTAGACGTTGCAATCGTTACATATAGAACTGTTGTAAGATCGTTCCGTAGTTTTTATATATGTTATTTTTCCTCAAGCGTACATAAAAAGCTATTTTTTATATTTTCAGCCATATGTAATAAAAAAAAAATTATACAATTATTTCTGTTTTTGAGGTGATTTAGACACCAGAGGAGTACAATATTCACCGAGCCCGAAGGGCAAAGTCAATATTGTATTTCGGTGGTGGCTAAATCATCTTACTGAACTCAAAAAACACCAATAAGTGTTTTATTATATATGATTAAATGATAGCAAACTCCAATAAGGCTGTTTCTGCTTTAATTGAAAGTTTTTTAAACGAGACATTTCAATAAGAACACATTGTAACAAAAAAATGGAACAGAAATAATTCAATATACATTTGTATTGACCTGCAATAATTCCTTATATTGACCTGGAAGGTCACGTGATTCATTATTTTGACCTGCAATAATTCCTTGTAATGACCTGAAAGGTCACATGCAGGTCAATATATAACGTAACATTTTTCTATCATTGTTGGATCTCAGCCAATCAGAGAGAGGGAAATTATTCAATCATATAATAAAGTTGTATATATATATTGTAAAACTTATTAGTCCGTAGACAGAGTTAGAATTTATGAATCGTGTATATAACCCTAACCCTAGAATTTATGAATTGTGTAAATATTTGAGAATTTATTGTTTAAATAGTTGTGCACGGCCACTGTACATTATCTTCTCATTTTACACTAATAGAAAGAAGGGTCGGTAAGTAATACTTTGTTTTGAATTTTTTTATGATTTTAAAGGCATCCTGTGAGTCATTCTCTAAACAGCGAGTTTGAAGCTCTCTTTTCCGTATCATATGTTTTGGTTTTTAATCAGCTTCCTGAAAGCTCCATAAACACTACTTAAAAACTGTTCTTACGATCTAGAATAATAATATTCAATTTCCGGATTTTACAATAAACAAAAGGTTCGGTGCATACAAGTAAGGTCGCTCGGGTAAACGTTAAAAAATATTATCTGTGCTTGGATCTATATTAAAATACATTACATTTTGTTAAAATTCCATTGTTATATAGAAAAAACAACACTTAACAAATTTTCTCAATGTACATGTACGTACTAATAAATTTACCAATTTACTGATCCCAACGCTATTTTTAACGTACACCTCATTATCTTTGTGAGGGATTTTTTTTTCGTAATTTTTCAGTTTTTCAAAATTCTATTTCAATAAGTAAACATTATTAAACAATGCCATTCTATGTAAAAGGTACGAATTCATTCATTTTTAACTTAATGGATAATTATTATTATCATTTCATTTATAGATATTTTACATCGATATTTTTCTTCGTGTTTTATCTACCGTTGTATCTGAAAAGAAAAGTTTATCATCGTTTTCTTTAGCATGTTTAGGCTAATTTAAAAATTGTATCATCTGCAAAACTTTATAGGGTAAAAACAAAAGAACTGCAACACCCTCTTTATAATCATGACTTACTTTTGATTCATGTGATGTTCCGATGTAATGTATGCTGGGCTCTGTATACTCATTTGGAACTGCTGCCTAGTTATAAACCAACATCAAGAAATTCAAATTAAGTTTAGTTACTACATGTAGTCAAACTTTTATAGCTATTACATTCTTTTTCATTTGCCAATTACTGTAATTGTTTCAGTTGATCACGTGTAAACGCATTTTATATCCCATAGAGGTTGAGGAATTAAATTAAATAGATATATGAGACCATAAAATACAACCTCCTACATTTGCATTGATAATTATCTTCCTCTAGATCTCACCAAATGAGTTTTTCTCCATAATTCAAAGGAAGAAGATGAAAGGAAAGTCGGTCCTTTTGGCGATTACCGAAAAAATGCATTCATTTGGTATTTTATGGCATGAGGTCCATTGAAGGACCTTGTAATGGTTAAGTTGCTTGAAAATAATAATTCCTGCTTAAAGTTTAAACTTTTTTCAAGTTCAAAAAGTAAAACATCAAAAATTACATTCTGATAATACAAAATTTGCAAAAGGGAGAGTAAATAAGAGACAAACCCACAAAAGTCTAATTTTTTGCAACCCCTCTCACTTATCATAAATGAACCAAGGAAAGACAGGAGTTAGATATGGGGAAAACTCACAGACATTTATATATAAGCAGGAAATAATTTGAGTAAATTACACATTCAAAGAAACTCCAGTTTAAGATCTTACTATAAATCTGATCATAATCATAAGCTACTAGCATCAATATCCTGGGATGGAGAGAAAGAACTGCAGCATTTTTTTTCCTAAAGATCAAGTAAAACCAGTAATTTTCAATTATTAATTTCCAGAATATCAATTAAAATACATTTATTTTTAACATAGCATAAATCATTGATGCATCTAAGAATTAAAAACTAAAAGATTGTGTCCCTTTCAAAATGTAATTAAAAGAAACATAAAAAAATCATCCAATACCTACCATTTTTGCTGTTTTGATTATTCCTCCAACTTTTCTTGTTCTACAACAAATTCTTATTGTGTTAGAAGTTAATTGTAATTGATATTTATTATGTGTACATTGTGAAATATTTTAAAAAGAAGAAAAATGCAAGAAAATAATCCGACCAAACACAGTTTTTTTTATTCCTTCCATAAGATAATAATATAAATTTAAAACAAAATTTCCCACAGCTCTGTTATTTCTTTATTTCTCGATCAGTTTGAATAAAGAACCAAGAATTAGAAATTGTTCTATCTGACGTATCCGTATAAGTATACGTATCCGTATCGATCGAGATATGAAAAGCATCTCGATCCCGATGTCTAAACCATTTGATACAATTTCCATCTCTGTTTATGGTTAAATAAGCCACGGTCATGAATAGGAAAATAGCAAATGGCAATTTTTCTGTAAAAATACTATACTGTTGTAAATCTCTATCCTTTCGTAGAAAAATATTTATTTAAAAAAACAAATGAAAATGAAGTCAAGTATTAACCTGTTTAACTCCCTCCGTTTCCCCTCCCCTCACATTGTCGCCAGAAGCAAATTGAAAGTAGGGAGGGGGGCTAATTGAAAAAGAAAAAAATAATCAGCCCTAAAAAACCTTGACAAGAAAAAAGCACTTAAACACTATTTTGTGTGTGTGTGTGTGTTTTTTTTTTTTTTTTGGGGGGGGGGGGTGTCCGAACTATTTTCATTGCCATTTTTTCCAAACACTATCACTTACTCTTCTTTGAATACAACATGCCTGTTTAAAGTGGGAAGAGGGCTTATCCTACGCCTCAATGTTTAATGCTTATAGTATGTCTATCTTTGCAAATGTGGGAGAGGGGGGCGCTAAGCCCCCCTCCCCCTCCAGTTCCGACGTCTGTGCCTCACCATGTGCACACACAAAATTTGATAACGCCTTTTGACTTTTATGGTGGCATATTTCTGCCCCTTGTGTGCAAGTTATTTTTCTATCAAATATGTCGACATGCAAGATAGATATGTTAACATGCAACACAGCTATGTCAACATGCAACATAAATATGTTGACATGCAAGAAAATTGCAATAAGATAAAATTTTTTACAAAATCTTCAAAAATCTCAAATATTGCCCACATGTGACATAAAACATGCTACATGCTACTGATTTATGTTAACATGAAAGATAAATATGTTGACATGCAACTTAGATTGCATGTCAGCATAAATAAGTTGCATGTCAACATAAATAAGTTGCAGGTCAAAATATTTAACTTGCACATTAACATAAATAAGTAGCATGTTGGATGTCACATGTGGGGGATATTTTAGATTTTTGAAGATTTTTTATAATATTTATTTGATTGCAATTTTCTTGCATGTTAACATATTTATGTTGCATGTTGACATAACTATCTTGCATGTCGACATATTTGATAGAAAAATAACTTGCACACAAGGGGCAGAAATATGCCACGATACATAATATATAGGCATTTAAAATTGAGGTTTACTTTTCTTGTTGGTTTAGCCCCCCCCCTCTTCAATCAGCGCCCCCACTTTCTATTTGTTTGCGCCGCCAATGATACGGCTATCGACCTACAATTTATGGAGTGTATTCAATCCGCCCCAGAATTACCAGCTATCCAAAATTTTTCTGGAGAACTATAACCATCAAATACATAATAATGAATGGCATAAAAAATAATAAAAAAGAAAAAGATGATGGAGATTTTCAGTGAATCCCCATACACATTTTTTTACACTATGATTAAATCTCTCCCAGTTAATGTAAAACTTCATATTTTTACAATGTACAAGATTATGATAAAGAGGTTAAACTGTATATAAAATTATATATTATTGGGGATATGTCGTGTTCTTGTAAATATTAATTCGAAAATGAAGAATGAATCCCTAATATTGAGAGAGAGAGAGAGAGAGAGAATTTTTTTACTTTTAAAAAATTATACACTGTACTTGTTATTCAAATTTTATTTTTAAACCTTTAGCCACCCACTCCCTCCCCCCAAAAACATGACGGATAAGGATGTACAGCAACTGATATGTTTTTATTAAAAATATCACACTTCATATCATTTCTTAGTGAATGAGGCTAAAAACCAAACATAAAACGTTGGCAATGTAACCAGATGGTTTAGACATCGGGATTGAGATGCCTCTCATACCTCGATACGTATACGGATACTTATACGGATACATCAGATAGAACAATTTCTATTAGACTAAAGTATTGTTGTAAATATATCATTTATTGATTACACAAATGAAAAAAAAAATGAAATTTGGGAGATATCAATATCGATTCTTTGTACAATTTACATCTACACTTTGTTATGGATCTCCGCAAAAATGAAAGGAACATCTTGACAGTACTCAACCCCACCCCCACCCCACAAATTTATCAATTATTTAAGCTGAAAAAAGTGGCAACAAACAACAGGCCATGAAACAAAAGACATTTACTATTAAATCCCAAAGTTAAGCTTAACAAAGGGGATGGTTGTACGGGGTGGGGGAGGGTATTCTCTCTTTTTTACAAAATAATGACGTGTACAAAATCTTGCAGCATCTAAAAATGATAACATTCACATGATATCTCCGATGTTAGCTAGCGTCTAATCTCCACAGAACCCCAGAAACTGAGACTATGCATTACACAACGTCGGTTAACTCCTAAACATGAGATATACATTAAATAAACAACGAAAACTACATATTTTACCAACGAAATGGAAAAACACATTTGCATAAATAAACATATTGTTACAAATAATATAACATCTTATTGGAACGAATTAAAATGATTTCGAACTCGATCCATCATTTATCTATTTATTTTTTTCTTTAAGTATAAAAAATCAAAACAAATAACTATACCTTCTTTATTCCTTTATTCTGAGGGAAAAGTACACAGGAATTAAGGAAAAAAGATATGAGAAAGAAAGTTACAAACAAAATATCACATGCCAAGGAAGGTTATCACTGCAAGCATCATATATCTTTCTTTTTTAAACATGACCAACTTTTTCACCCAATCAGCAATCTCTTAAATATCTTAAGTGTTTCACTTAACAGTTTAATGTTTTATCAACAAATCTGATGGGAAAAGATATTTTTTTCAAAAAGCCCGGATCAGTCAATAAAGAGTCGAAGTTTCTTTAAAAAGTTTCTTTAAAAAGAGGTAGATTCACTATCTCCATAAAATGGCCCATTCAATATACCAATTAACCGACCAAGTCCTTAGGTCCCATTTCGAACATCAACATAAAGTAGAGACCTAGTGCTTTCATTTCCTATAAAAAAAATTCCTCTGAGAGTCCAAGTTTGGAAACTCAGACGTTGTGAAACTGCAATGTTCTTAATTTTTTAAGAAAATGGGTTCAACATTTGATAAAAATATGAGCCCACCCCGCGATCCAATTTTTTTTTTCATCAACTAGAATCTTCTGTAACAGTTCTTTCATTGTATAATTAAATATTTTAGATCAGGGGTTGGGGGCTATGCAAAATATTAAATATACAGCTTAATTTTTTGTCATTTTTACAGAAATTTTCAAGATTTGAGGAAAATGACGACATTCAAGACGTTATAACACATGGATAAGAGTTAAAATTACGTCATTTTTATTTAATATGAGGTCACCAAGGTTCCAAGTTAAATTTAACATATTTTCGTAGGGCCAATAATGGACCTATGTGACTTTACTTCTTTTATCTTCTTTAGGTACTCAAAACTTCAGTAAAAATGGATAACTCTTTAATTTTAAATAAAGCCTCACAATGAAGCTTGAATATTAAATCTTTTCATGCAACACTTTTTATATGAAATTACATATCTGAAATTTATGTTCTTTTAATCCAAAATATATCGATGTTTTTTCACGTGTCATAAAATTAGAAGCGATTTGTAATGTTTTGTAACAATATGAAAATCTTTATACACAGTACATTATGCATTGTAAAATGATTGAAGAAAACAGAAAAAACTAAAAGACCTCATTTAAGAAATAAAGTATCATTTTTTAACATCTATAACATCTAAATAAAAAATCGGGCTATAAATACAGGTTAGTCGCGAGATTAAATTCCATAGAACCCGAATGATTTTATGATGAGTTTAATCTCGCACCTACAAGTATTTATATCCAGATAGATGTCTTAAAATGATACCTTATTACTTATATTTACATTTGTGACCTATTCATACTTTTAATTTGCCTAAATGCGTTATTTTTCAAACCCATCGGCATGTATTAAGTCCACTGAACGCACATCGATCCTTTAAGACGTCACTGAGAAATTACGTCGAAGGTTTATCCATAAGCACATCTATGACCTCTTGACTCCATAAACTATAATGTGTGCTTTCAGTAGTGTTATATAAAGGAAAACATTTGCAAATGTAAATATATGTGTAAACATTATGCAATTTCTTCAAAAGATCTGCTAATGTTTATTTCTGATATGTGTTTGTTGATCAAATGTAATTGGAAAATACATATTATTTTTTTAAATTCGCATTTCCTGAGGTATACTGTTTCCCTATGTAATATCATTAATTTTAAAGATGGCGTATGAAGAATAGTATGTACATGTACCGTGCACATTATTTTAGGAATTCAGAAACATTTAATTAATTCAATTATATCACTGAGGGCTTTTTCATGGGGGGGGGGTGTTTTTATCGTTTGAACGCTTACCGTGACACTGGTCCTTGGTTGTTACAAATGTAAGGTATTACCCGAAACACCCGATACTTTTACTTCTAAAGAAAACTGCTTGCATAATGCAGATAACAATCACTTCCAAAGTAATACTCATGCCTAGCGGCAAATGAGAACCGAACAAGTTATAGTTACACTATAGATATTCATTGGTTAATGGTAAATACAGTCACAGTTTTTAATTCACGAGGGGCGGAGCCCAGAGTTAATTAAAAAAAACTGTGAGTGTATTTACCATTAACCAATTAATATCTATTCTGTAAGTTGCATGTACCAGAGGACAACGCAGCACAGTTTAGGTTACAAAAAGGAGGCGGAGCCTAATTTGTACGGGAAAACTTGACTATGACATCATACACAATATATGTCATACAACATTTCTTTAAAATATCACGAAATGAGTTTATCTGCTAATTTAACCAGGAAGAAATCATCAAACTACATAAAAACTTACTACATCGTGTTGTTTTGTCGTTAGTTAAATCCCACATAACAAGTTATAAACAAGTCACTGAATGCAATACACTTGTCAATATGACGTCATTTCTTACAACGTGACGTAGTTTGTATGCAGTGAGAGACAGATCAAGTAATATTTTCTCAACAAAATATGTATTCTCTAATTAAAACAAAGATTATTTACAGATATAATATGGGCCAATCACTTGAATTTTATGTCTTCTTCACTATTTTATCAATACATTTTCTGTAAATTACGTATTTAAATGACACTGCCGTATATTTGTATGCAAGTACATCGGAGGGTAATGTGGGGGTCTTAATAAATCGGTCTAGTGCAAGGGCATACACTCTACGGATCAAAGTAAGCTTTAACATTTCAACTATAGAACTATTAAAGGTATCTGAAAAGTGCTGCGATCCTAATGAAATATTAAAAACAATTTAATTATATCAATATTTCATGCTGCTGATCAGCAAAAAATAAAGCATTTGGTCATACAAGTATAACTTTAACAATGAAATTGCAGAATTTAGACAGGATCGCAGCACTTTTAGAAACTATAATGTGTGTTGAAAATATTTATATACTAAACTTGGAAATTTAACTTGGTTATGCCCTTGCACTAGTGTCATTTATATATAACATCAATACTTCAAGTCAATGTGCTAAAATCGCGCGACTGCCGCATCACGTGACTAGTCTAAATATAAAATATAACCGTCCTCTATGTGTAGTTATTAATCATAATTACAATTATCTGATATAAATAATGTACTAAAAGTAATCGCCATCCCGATTATGAAAACATTTTGAAATACAAAATTTAGTTGATATTTCTATTGCGCATCTTAACTGTGCTGCGAAATGAGAGAAAGGCTGGTTGACAGTTAGCACCGCCCACTTCATTCTCTCAAACCATGGTCCGGAGTCTGTATAAATAACTTTCACCATCTGAAGGGATCGTATTTTAAATGCTGCATCCGGGGTATCGTCGATCAAAAAAAAATCGGAATGATTGATCATTATGGGGTACGTGTTAAGATGATGCAGCTACGACAGATGGCTTGATTTTGTCAGGAACAGAGATAGCGATCGTAAAGTTTCTTATTTTAGGCTGTTATTCCTTTCAAAGATCGATTTAATTTTGAGGGGGATGGGGGTGGGTGGGTTGTTTCAATGAAAAACATCTTCGAATATACTTTTCATTTATAGCGATAACAAAAACCGCGAAATGAATTCTGAAATTTTATAAAGTTTAGTACTGCAAGGATATGCGTCGGTAACAAATTGAAGGGGGTTGGGGCTAAACCAACAATAAAAGGTAAACCCCAATTTTAAATGCCTATATATTATGTCTATCTTTGCAAAAAAAGCAAGGGGGCTTACTCCCCTCCCCCTCCCCCGGCTCCGACGCCTATGTCAAGTAAAAAAACGGGGGACCTTTAACATATTTAATGTCAAATTACTATTTGGAGACAAGAATAAGAATTATGGCAATTCGAGATAGAACGTATAACGTTAACAGGATAAGCTTAGTAAATACGAAGTGAATGTCGACAAATTAATGTTTATATTCTTAAAGTTTTAAATGTTGACTAAACACATTTATCAGTTATTGCCTAGGTTTAGAAATCAGTATCATTCATTCATCAGTCATGGTCTTGTTACATGCATTATGGTTTGATGCCAAATTGTGGGCATGACTTAAAAACTGTGGTTCTTCTGGCAAATACACCACAGCAACATCAAAGTAAAATCTGAATTTACCGCCAGTCCTATGGTACAAAGGCCTGTCGATTACTTAGATAATGCACTACCAATAGCAGGGTTCTCCATCATTTGAAATGTTACTGTGTTGCAGAGTTAATAACATGAAGAACCAAAATTTCGCGGTATTTTCGCGATCAAATTCGCAACTAAATTACTATTTATAAAAATTACAAAAGAATACATGCACACACTTATTTAAAAATCGCTAATTAGTTACACAAATAGTACGGTCGTACATATTGATAAAAATAAAAACACGTTCCTAAATCAGAGGAATTTCTGACCGATACAGTCGTACTACTAAACATTTTTGAAAGTATATTTGCTGTGATTATTTATCAGTTTTCTTGATCGAGTTATCACATTACAAAAAAGAAACTTCAGAACAGTAATATATTTTAAAAGTTCCTTGAACATGACATTATGTTAAAAATTTTAAGCAATTTATTTACATCAATTAAATGACTTCGATACCATGTTATGTTTGACTTTTAATAGTGTTAAAATAATTCTAGGCCGTGGCTCTATAGAAAAGACATATCTAAATATTTTAAAAAAATAATAATAATAATACAATGTATTTTATTGCAACTATCAATAAACCCTTACATGTAAGTATGAAAACAAATTATTTGTCTTTGTTCCGTCATGCGTAAAGTCCGGTGAGGGTCTACAATGCGCAGTCTTAATCACTTGGTACTGCGTTATATAAGGTCTTTTCTGGTAGCAAACAAGTGACACTGGCAGGGAAGTCCACACACCAGCGCACTTCAACAAGAGGCAAGCATGGATGACTGCACACTCGCCCTTGCGCAGTGACAAGCAGGGATGATCGCACACTTGGCACTAAGACACGATTTTAGGCTAAAGACACTGGTAGGGATGTCCGCACACCAATGCTCTACCACAAGATGCAGGCAGGGATGTCCTCACACCTGATTCTGCGCAGCAACAAGCAGGGG